TTATTCACATTCAATGTATAGTGTATGTTTTGCCCCTTCCCCTGCCTATATAATCAGGCCATATGGCCATTGTAACACAAACCTTTTAAATATTAAAATCTTTTACTCTTTGAGTATTATTAAAATAGTGTGATGCTATTTTAGCCAAATTCCTAATTCTATATCTTAAGAGTGGTTATCTTAAGTGTGAGTTTTAGGTTCTAGATATTTGATTAAGTGTGTCATATCTTAATTAAATTCTAGATTCAAACCCCAAGTTAGGATAAGAGTGTGTAATATCTCTTAAACACCAACTTGGTTTATCCATCATTATTTTCTATCCATTTCTTTTCCCACCATTTCTATCCTTAATCTCCTTTCTTTCCTTATATTAAAAATACCAAAAGAACTCCTTCATCGTCTCCATATATTTCCAGTCCATTCCCCCACAAAAACACCCTTCTTCCTGCCCAGAATTCTGCCAAATAATCGATTATCATTACCCACAATCGATTATCGGTCCTCTTTTGAAACACCCGCAGGGATCAATAATCGATTATCCTTTTCAGATAATCGACTATCACTCTTCCCTAGAAATCTGCAGCCCTCTATAATCGATTATCACCATACCGATAATCGACTGTCAATCCCTCCTGAAAAATCCAAGAAGCTGCACCATCTGACAATCGATTATCCTCTTATCCTGAAAACAAAAGGATTTGTTTCTTGAGTTTGAACTTAATACCGTCAAACTCGGAACCTGTATATAACATTTGGTATCAGAGCTTGTTGTTCAACATCCCTCAAGGGACCACAACACCTTCCCCTACATCTTCCCTTTTGAAACATTACCCGCACCATCCAAGACATGTCTCAATACGATGTAGCTGCTGCCCAAGAAAAGTTAAAGAAGGAAGTTGAGCTTGTGATGAAACAAGTCAAGGAGCTCACTGGATCAGTAGAAGTCCCTACGTTTGAAGGAAGAAACGATCCGGAGAAATTCTCAAAGTGGTTAGCAAAAGTTGAAGACGTCTTTATACTCAAAGACGTACTCGAAGACAAGAGGGTCAAGCTAGTGGTGGCAAAGTTTCAAAGACATGCCTCTACTTGGTGGGCTAGCGTTGCTTCAAAACGAAGCTCTAAGGAAAAGCGAAGGTGAGAACTTGGGAAAAGTTAAGAAAACTCTTAATTAAGAGATTTTCTTCCCAAGATCATCTCCACCAGGTACTTGAAAATACTCTCCGTTTTTCACCTCATACTCTTTCTAAAGTCCTACCACCTTCCCCACAACAAAAGTCCCTTCATAATGCTTTCTGTCCCACAACCTTAACCTCCTCTAAATCCCGATCTTCGCAGAATTCCCACGCTACCCAAATCATTCTCGAAGCCACCACCATCTTCAACACTCAAACTCCCTCTAAAGTTCCCTCTTTACCTTGCATCCATGCTGTCCAAAACATCTCTCACCCAACTGCCTCACACCTACCCAAAATTCCTACTCAAACAATCTCTTTACCTTCCTTAGCCACTGCCCAAACTAAGCCAACACCCCTTATCACAACCCTGCCCCAAGATACCTCAAAACCCATTTATGTTTCATCCCTGGCCACTGTCCAAACAAGCCCCAAAACCCTCTTCATGCCCCTGCCTCCAAACTTGCCTAGAATTCTCCCTCAAACGGCCGTAACCATTCCCACACCTACCCCTACACCCTCACTTGAAAAACCAACTGAAACCATCCCTTTACCCTCCCAAAACACTGTCCAAAGCACCTCAAAGCCTCTCCCATCCCCACAGTTCAGAACCCTGTTAAAACCATAGGCCCTCCACCAAAAGCCATGGTCATACCCCCACCCAAAATCTGCCCATCTATTCCCAAGAATTCCCATTGCTTCCATCATATTGGTCATTATGCTATTCAATGTCCAAATAAGAATCTTAAGTCCTTGGTTGAAGAAGAAGAAAAATCAGAATTTTTGGGACTTAAGGAAGCACAAGAAGATGTGAAATCACAAGGCCAATGTGAAGATGAACTCGTGATCATTCATAGGCCATTGAGTAATCTGGCCCACTCTCTTACTCATTTAACTCCCCAAAAGTGTTATGAGAAGACCCAAAGTGGAGTCATGAGCCGAAATGCAGGAGCCTTGCCCCGAAGGTTATCTTCACTAACGGTACCTCGTACCAAGTTTGCTAAGTTTTTGCAGGTTCCAAGTAAGGAAGGAATACAAGAAACATCCGAGTTTTATTATAAGACTCGTGAAAAGCTTGAGAAGAGAAGTGAGTTGAAAAGTCCCACCCACTTTCAACCCGGCGACCTAGTGTGGGTCCATATTCAAAGAGAGCGTTCTTCTAAGAAACGCAAGTCAAGGCGGGAATTCCGAGACGATGGCCCATTCGAAGTGCTAGCCCGAGTCAACGACAATTCCTACATGGTTAACCTTGCAAGAGATCAAAGAGTTGCTGCCACATTCAAAAAAAGGGACCTTAGTCCATATGACGGTCTTGATTATCCGTTGAGTTTGAGGGAAAACTCTTTTGAAGACCGGGAGGATGTAATATCTGGGCCCGGCCCTATCCTACCCTCCCCCATGTCCCACACTCCCATGGGAACCAAAGGACTTAGGTTCAAACATTATGATCCACTTTAGTAAGATTTCAAAGTCCTTCAACCCGAGAGGCAAAAAATAACTTCGGACCTAAGGGTTCTGCCAACCAACTCCCACTCCGCCAAACCCCACCCTAAACATCCAAAACTCCTTTCCATTTAATTCCTTTCAAAATAAAGTTATTACTCTTATTTTAGCCCCTGGCCGAAAATAAGAATGTGCAAACCAAAACCTTTTGTTTGTTATTTTNTTTAAGCCTTTTAATAAACAAGTAAAACCTTCCCTCCATTCCTTTTATTTCCTGGCTAGTTAAACCTCACAACCCCAACATAAACACTCACAAAAAGCCAAAACCATGACCCACCTCCAGCCCCTACTTCCTGCCCATGTTCCCTCACAAATAACCCAAAACTATAAGTCCAAAACCACCCATTATATCCCCCATCCCTGACCCGTTTTCTTAGCAAACACAACCCCTCATATTTACCCAAATAATAGCCTTAAAACCCAGGAAACAACCACTACAAACCAAAGCTCAAAATCCCCACAACACCAGCCCCATCCTTGAGTTTTATCCCACTAAGGAGACAGGATTGAAAGGAGAATTCCCCATGCTTTTGAAGTGGATGTTGCTAGGAAGCTTCCTGTTATTCACATTCAATGTATAGTGTATGTTTTGCCCCTTCCCCTGCCTATATAATCAGGCCATATGGCCATTGTAACACAAACCTTTTAAATATTAAAATCTTTTACTCTTTGAGTATTATTAAAATAGTGTGATCCTATTTTAGCCAAATTCCTAATTCTATATCTTAAGAGTGGTTATCTTAAGTGTGAGTTTTAGGTTCTAGATATTTGATTAAGTGTGTCATATCTTAATTAAATTCTAGATTCAAACCCCAAGTTAGGATAAGAGTGTGTAATATCTCTTAAACACCAACTTGGTTTATCCATCATTACTTTCTATCCATTTCTTTTCCCACCATTTCTATCCTTAATCTCCTTTCTTTCCTTATATTAAAAATACCAAAAGAACTCCTTCATCGTCTCCATATATTTCCAGTCCATTCCCCCACAAAAACACCCTTCTTCCTGCCCAGAATTCTGCTAAATAATCGATTATCATTACCCACAATCGATTATCAGTCCTCTTTTGAAACACTCGCAGGGATCAATAATCGATTATCCTTTTCAGATAATCGACTATCACTCTTCCCCAAAAATCTGCAGCCCTCTATAATCGATTATCACCATACCGATAATCGACTGTCAATCCCTCTCGAAAAATCCAAGAAGCTGCACCATCTGACAATCGATTATCTAAGATAGACAATCGATTATCCTCTTATCCTGAAAACAAAAGGCTTTGTTTCTTGAGTTTGAACTTAATACTGTCAAACCCGGAACCTGGATATAACAAGTTGGATAATGATATTTGCTGATTCTTCTGACATTGTTTGATTATATATTAATGGGTGCTAGTCTATGAGTTAGTTTTAGCGTTAGATACTTCCACTCTCCCTATTTTTACAGGTAAGGGTCAAAAATTAGATGAGGAGCAGCCTGGAAGACAGTGAGACGTGACGCTGGTGGATGACCCGAAGCTGTTTGTTTTAAATTAATTATATTTTGACAAATTTGTTTATTTAAATTACAAGGATGTTGAATGTTGTTATTAAAGGCTTTCGCAACGTTTCAGTTATTTATTCCGATTAAACAATGAATTGTTTTCCAATAACTATGAATGTTTATTTTATTTCTAAGTGTTTTTAAAATATTATGCATGTGAATACCAAATTAGTAGCAACCCGATTTGCTTACTCGTGATTTCGGGTTACGCGGGCTGGGGTGTTATAGTAGGTGGTCATAGCTTTTTGTTATATTTATTTTTTCCAAATGTTTTGGTATAATTATTGTTTTAAATCTTATCATAGGTGGTTACGATTGACCTGTGGCCGATTACTTTGCGAAAAATATGGTGTGCATCGATGTCCTATTTAGATGAGACGACGCTTTTGTATGAGTTGCCATCTTTTCCTCTGTATCATCGATGATTCGGCACATGTGTATCCATTTTTTACTCTACACGCAGATGACAGGCATAAGTTGGGTTTTACTACCTTATAAAAGGGCATCACAACGATTCGACTAATGGCATACGACACGTTTGTGGACGCACTTGATGAATTGCATAGCAATATTTTTATTGTATCTCAATTATTTAATGTATCAATTTTAGTATTTGTTTTATTTTTATTTAAATGTATAAATTTTAATATCTAAATTAAATTTTATTCTTTCTAGTTTAATTATTTAAAATAAGTATTAAAAATAATGTAAAAATTGAAGAGGAAAGGGGAAGACATTTTCCTAAAAGGGGAATGAGAATGGAAGAAAAAGTTGAAGCTGATGTGACGCTAAATTGACGAAAGAGAAAAGGGGAAAGCATGGGAGCACACCTCATGGCCTTATGGGGGGTGGGGAGGAGCTTGATACCCTCCATCACGCCATCGTGCATTACACTTCAATCGTGAAGGGACGTTGCCCCATTTCAAGTGATGGCTATCACCCTATTGTTCCATCTTTCCCAATTATTTTCTTTTTTAAAAGATATTGTTTCAATCAATCAACATTTAACACATATTTACACTTTATCAGTATAATCAACTCATCATAATATACATATTTTCTCACTCCATATCATATTTCTTTACACATCATCAAATCCCACCCAAGGCCGGCCCTGGGGATAGGCATAAGGGGCTATGGCTTAGGGCCCATTTCACAAGGGGGGCCCTAATTATTTTTCTCTAATGGTATTAGTAACATATTATTGTAAAAAATAATCAACTTAGGGGCTGTTTGGCAACATCTGAATAGGTAACTGCTGAACCAGTAAGAGGTCTGAACCATTAAGTGCTGAACTAGTAAGAGATCTAAACCATTAAGAGCTAGTATATTGCTTAACTATTCAAAGACAAATGTCTGATCCATTCAGATAAGACCTCTTAACCATTCAGACTCTCTATAATACTTAACCATTCAGAGGCAAATGTCTGAACCATTCACACATCTGAACCATTAAGAGGCTGAAACAAACAGTCTGAACCATTAAGTGCTGAACCATTCAGACATCCGAACCATTAAGAGGCTGAAACAAACAACCCCTTAGGGTTTTAAAATTTCAATTTTAAGTAAATATATGTAGTATAATAATAACATATTACACTCAATTATTTTAATTTATCAAGTGATATTGCTCTTCTTAAAAAATAATTTTAGAAGCCAAAATTTTTTAATTGGTCTGAGACCCAAAAAATGTTAGGACCGGCCCTGATCCCGCCAAACTCCTACCATGGCGTAACAAATGGTTTAAGAGCGGCAATATTTTGGGGATGGAGTAAGTAATGAAATGTGGAAATTAAAAAGTAAAATTCGCACTAAGTAGGACTAAAACATAATGCCTTTTCTAATGTAGGACTTAAACTTTTTTATTCCCTAAATAGGACTTAATAATGACTTAGTGGGAAAAATAATGTCCAGTAACAGTGGACATTTACTTGAATAATGACTATATGATAATGGCCAAAAGTCCTACATTGAGAAATAAAAACATATGGTCCTATATTGGGAAAGTCATTATGTTTTAGTCTTAAATTACTCAATTAAAAACGAGTTGACACAGCTAAGAGCGAGCTATAATCCTCCCGTTGGCAACTAATACGAAGTACTCCTTAGAATAAATAGTACTCCGTAAATTATACTCGCCTAAAGTTTGATATTCGCTCTACTTTTTACGCAGTATTTAATTTTTTTTCATTATAATTATTTGAAAGTTTTGTAGAATTAAAAATAGAAAACATATTTTTAAAAATTGAATAAAAATTCTATAAGATAAGATCAAATTTGAAAAAATATATATTTTATCAAAGATTAATAAAAATATTATTTTTGAACAAGTGAATATTAAGTTTGCGGTTTCCTTTAATAATGAATGTGGACAATGAACAATAACATTCTTTATACGTAATTCAACTTTTACGAAATTTATGAGAAAATGTTAAATCAAAAAAATATATAATTAAAGTTCGGTTGTGTTGGGAAATTGATTAATAATCAAAAGAAAAGAAAAAAATAAGGAAGAGGACAAAGAAGATAATAAAGAAAGAAAGGTGATCAAAAATGGAATATTTGATTGATTTTGTGCATGTCATCAAATCAAAGTGGATTTTGGTTTCTTGACTTCTCAAACCATGCATACGTAGTATTCATTGGTTATAAAAGCAAGACACCTATTGTATGTGTATGTGTGTGTGTGTGAGTTTTACACACCACCAAGGTAGAGAGAGAGAGAGAAACATGGGAGGAATTCTACACAAGAATACCACCGGGAAAATCCAAGGGGTCTTGGTGAGTGTGGGTGAGTGTAGTGAGTAACTGGTTTTAGTTACTCAAAGAAATACATCCGGGCATAGGATGTGGAAAGATCTGTTTATGAGTGTCTGGAATTTAGCCTTGTAAACAGGGGAGAGTTTTTTGTATATTGTCCTGAAATAGTGGAAATATAATTTTTTTTGTCTCATATATTCTTCTTGTGTTTGTTCTCTCATTTTTCTGGTGTTCTCAATATTTTTCGGTATCTTACGCGCTTAAAATCCCAACAGGTTGGATGATGAAATTAATGCGAGTTGCATATTCATTGTAAAAATATAAAATTAAGTAAATGCAAGCATTTTTTGGATGCGACGAAAAAAAGATATAAATTTTTTTGAGTAAATTCTTAGAATGGTACTCGGTACTAAATAACTATGTGTCTTCCCAAATTAGTTATCAAAACTAACTAATTTCCGATATGGTACTCGGTGATTTAGAATAATATTTAGTTCAATCCCCCCAGACTAACGACCATTAAGATGTCATTAAAAAGACGTTAACTTTATACTACTTTCCCAAAATGATACTTTTTAATTGGGTGTTTTCTCAAATTGGTCCATTTTCAAAATAATAATAAATTAATTGTGAAAAAATATTTTAAATTTTATAGGATAATAATATAATACTAAAATTAAATTTATAAAATTATATTTATAGTTTTAAGTATTATATTGTCATCCTATAAAATTTAAAATATTTTTCCATAACTAGTGTTTAACATCAAAAGTTTTCCATATTTAATTTTTCTTATTTTTCTATAATTAATAGTTTTTAGTATTATATCGTCATCCTATGTTTAACTTCGAATTTTGAAATGAGTATAAGGTTTAACGTTGTTTCAACGCTGTTTTGACGACCGTTATTTGGGGGACTGGAATGAGCATTATTTTTCAATTAACGAGCACCATCTTAAGAATAAGTTAATTTTGAAGACTAATTTGTGAAAATACATAGTTATTTTTGTACGATTTTAAAAATTTACTCAAAATCTGTATACAACGAAAGAAGTAACATTTTTAAGCATTTTACAAAAAAGGGGGGACAATCTCATTAGAGTCGCACATGAGTTAACACTAGCTAGCTTAATCCGTGCTCATGGTTTAAAAACACTATTTTTTTTGGCAATTCCTTCTCTATTTTAACAATTATTTTTAATTTTATGTCAATGTTCAAATAATTTAATTTGAAAGTAATTTTAATTAATCATCGTCCAAAATGGAATGTATTAAATCATCCAAATTTAAAAGATACTCCCTCAATCACAATCATCATCTTAATTTTTTTATATAATAGGTAAATATACGATAATGTTTATACTCCCTCCGTCCCCAATTTGATTACAAATTACGGGTTACGGAGTAAAATTTCTTACTTTTTGAAATTATTTTATTTATAAATTGGTATATCTATAAGATATAAAAATTAAATATTAAAAAACTACGTCAAAAGTTCTACAAAACAAGAGGTGACAAGAATATTTTATTTTATC